TGAAATTATATTGCAGGAAATTAGATATTTTTCAACTTTAACACAGAGCAGAAAATGAGAAACAATAAGGCCGTTTACTGATTCTTGATCACAAGCAGTTCTCTCAGACACCAACTTCTCCCATGTAAGCCCAACTATTCATTCAACTGAAAACATAAAAGGTGTCCCAAGTTCACCGCAGAACTATCAATTATAACTTTCTTATATATATGTAATGTGCCATTGACATCTATTAGCTGTTTACAAAAGAAAAATGTAAGCTGCTATAACCTTGTAGCTCCAATGGCAAAATTCTCCCCTGTCGAGTTGTAAATGCGTTAAATCCAAATCTTAAGTTAACCAAACAACACTAATTTAATTAGTACCGCCAAAAGCAGACAGGAATTCTATAACCATTTTGACACCTGTTAAAAGTACATCCACCCAATTGATTCCCAAACCGCTCAAATATGGCCCATCAAAAGTGTTAGAAGAACAAAACATACCACTGATCAGAGAGAGTCGGCCTGATAAATGCATAATAATGTCCTCCATGCACCCCGCCACTGTGAACCAAAACACTGAAGACAAACTCAACAGCATAAGTACTAGGACAAATATGATCACAGACAAACTCAAAAGAATAAAAAGTGTATAGATAGCAATTATTGCATGACACTATCTCCAAAGAGAGGTTAAATCAAGTATTATGTTCTAACACTTGAATTTTATGTTTTCTTTTCCTACAAGAAACGTTTAACCCCGGAAGACAAAAATAGTATCCAATTCCAGTACAATTGGATAAGAAAAGAACAGTATTTCATTCCTGTACAATTAAAAGACCTTCAAAATTTTGACAATAAAATAAAAAACCATTCCATATAATCCAAATAACTGATAAATGAAAAGAAAATGGGATTTTATTTTATTATTTTATCTTCTTTTGTAGCAAAAATGCCCAACCATGTCCTTGAATGATTTGCAATTGGATCAGTTACCACCTAAACTAATTCAGGCCCAAAATTAACAAAACCATCTATCATAGTCATCTTGACCATATGCATCGGAAAAAATGAGAAAATGACTAATAATCCATTTTGCAAGACACATCCGGCCAGAATCAACATCTTACTGTAAATCAGTAACAAAAAGACACTGCAAGGAGGCCACTTTAGAGGAACTACTCTTCCAATTTAGGTTAATCAGAATATTGTGTCTATTCTATTGGTCCTTTATCCAATAATATCTTTCTTGGATAGGGAAAAGAAGATGTTACTAAGATTATAAAGAAAGTATATTATTTCAAAAAAAAATATTAGAAAGAAAGTATAAAGACGGAGGATAAGATATCATTATAGCAGATGAAGGGAAATGGGACAAACACAATATAGCCCTAACTTCCTTTAAATACTTGACAAATGGTAACCCCTTAAAAACCATGTGCTTTGGCCCATAAAGAGGCCATGTAAACCATCCAACCAACAAAAGAAACTGAGCAGGAATAGTAAAAGTAGTTGAAGATCCAGGCATTATCTTCCAGCCAACCCAACACCTAAAGAAAAAGGCACTCCTTGATAACATTCCATGCTCCTGATTGTCCATATAACACCTCAAATTGACAAAGGAATACAGTCCGAAAGTGGAAAGAAGATACCAACACCCCCAATAGCGCACAATATCCTTTAGGCATCTAGAATATTGGAAGTCCGTTTATATTCCACAAAATTCAGGGGACCTTAGGTACTTTGAATATTTTGTAAATCCCTCATTCCTTTTGTAGGCACCTCTTTGGTGCTTGTTAATATTTTCTCCTCAAACAAAAGTCTTCATCATATGTGAAATATTTTTAACAAAATTAAGGAGCTGTTTGAAATATAACACAAAAAGATGGAATCTTGATAAAACATCCCTACAAAACATAGTACATTTACATTCCATTGGATATTTGATAACATCTAATAGTAGTATACCATCATTCAAGAAAAATGCATAAAATATTTTGAAATTCATCACGCCATCCAACATAAGTTATCACAGAAAAAAAATTTATTTCAAAAAAAAATTGAAATTCATCACACCATCCAATGCATCATCATATAACAAAGCAAGGAAGATAATATACTTCAGACGTCAAACTGTATTAAAATTGGGGGTACCTGTGGAGTGTGTAAAGATTGCGAACTGTCCTATCAGCTTCAGGGGATAAATATTTTCCATCATCTTTATCAAGATCAAGTTGCAAAGGGAACTCATAACGATCATTAATCTACACAAAGACAAAAAAGACTGAATAACTTTCTAGATTCTGGAACAAATGCAATCTATCTAGCAAAACTGCATGCCAAGACAGAACTCAAATCTCTTGGTCGTAACTTTATCAGATTATGAAACAAATAAGAACATCACAAAGGAGGCAAGAATCATTTACCAACACAAGTTAGGTAAACAATGGGAAAAATCAACCATTCATTGCCAAGGAAGGCAACTAAAAGTCAAGGATGTAAAGTTGTAAACATCCCAGCATAGTAAGTTTCAGCTCTTCATATATTAAGAGGCATTTGACAAAACAGTCATAAAATAGCTTCCTTGAAAGTTCAGTTCTTCAAAGCTCACTTATATGAAATTAGTTTTTCTGCTTTAGTTTGTAGAATTGATGCAAATGCATAGAACAAAAGAATCTGTTGTTCCACAAGGTTTTATTTTAAAAATGAAATAGAAATTACCAATGGATATTATTAAAGAAATGTTGGTTTCTCCTAAAAACAAACTACTTTCTATGTTGAGAACAAGACCTCCCCACGACATATGGACTATGGACCTCGAAATCAGACTTTAAACAGGACTGTGAACAGGTCAGATAAATCGAGAAAAGCTATTGCACATTCAATTCAGTAGAGAATATAAATATGAGAATTCTCCAATAAATGTTCCCATCTCTTCCACACTACTTCTTGGTTTATACTATACTTGATCTTGGACAAAAGGCTGAGAAGGTTTCACTCTTCAAGGCATACGTGGTATAGAGTGGCAAATATGCAGAAGAATTCCTTTGTGAATATGGTCAACCTTGGTTAAATATTCAGTGCAAGTAAAATATTACGGTAAATGAGAAACAGGTCATAAAGATTTTTTATATTGTTAGGAAAAAATTATTCATAGATGCATCCGATCAGCAAAGAAAATAATAAGAAAATCAAACTGCTTCTCAATCCCATAATTCATTTCCAACACCAATTTGAATTGCAACATCCAACATCATATTTAAATTTTTTTCAACCACGGTAAAATACAATTATCATAGCCAGAAAAACATCAAGAAAAATTTCTTATGACACTGCATGGTGTGTAAAAAAACAAGCTACAATAGGAAAAGTATTTTAAAAGAAAATTAAATGCTTTTTATTCACATAAGCTATTCAAAAGTCAAAAGTAATGAAATCACAGAGGTAGATCACAATTTTCCATCACTCTTGCTTACATTATAAAAGCTTAGAGGCTTTCTCCAAGATCATACCCACATATTATAAATAATAAACTAACTCGTTATAGAATGACAAATATGAATCGCTCATATTAGACGATTAAAAAAACAAATAATACATACTGACAGATGAAAGAAACAAATAGATAGTTATTTGATTTATGACCTTAACCATGGTGTCCTTCATAAAATCATACTCAAACCGCTTCAGCTGAAGTTGAAGGACAGGAGGAAAGTCAATGAATAATACACCCTTCTTAGCATCCTGAAACAATCACACAAAGTTAAAACCATTAAAAATGAACATAGAGAGTAATAGACAAACATTTTAATGGAGAGAACAAAAGCAGAAGAAACCAAAAGACAAATTAAT